TGGAATCGGTATGTAAAGCTAAGCCTTTTACTATGCCTCTCAGAACTGATCTGTAAGAATACAGTTAAAGAAGAAAAGTATAAACAAATGTTATGGGTTTTTTTTGTTGTTGTTGTGCATCTCATAATCAGATGCCAAAACAGGTTTCCCAGAGAAGCTGTGGGAATTCTGTCCTCGAGACACTGGAAACTTGTCTGGCCCCGGCCAAGCTCACTTACGCAGCTCCCACTCTGTATTGGGGCTGACCAGAGAGTCTCCAGAGGTCCCATCCAACCTAAATTACTCTCCCAACTCTACTGGAGCTGAGACATGGCTTGGATAGAAGGAATGGAGTCCAGCCGAGCAGAACACCGGCAACAAAATTCCGTTAAAATTCTGCATGGGCACCACAGCTTGACTGCACTGACCTTACTGATGCTATCAGGGGGTTAGCTGTGCCACAAGCACTTGGATGCCTGAAGCAAAGGACATGCACTTGAAGTCTGGGAGAGGAAATTTGCCCCATTTAAAAACACCAAACAGATTCAAACAGCTAGCAGCTTAATTCTGGGGATTTTCTGCAAGAGAAAGTTGTTGCAACCATTTCAAACTGAGCAAACCAGTCTACAACTACCCTGATTCTTATCTTCAGACCTGCAGATTTTCCACCTATTTTAATGGGAAAACAGATTCCTTCTGTCTACACGTGCCTTAGATTATCTGAATTACTTTCCTAAGGAATAATAACTTGCTTCACTTAAAGTAACTGTATGTAACTTTTAGCAAGTTCCTCTAATTTAGGAGGCATTTTTGAAAACTTTTGTTACTTGGATATTTCCTTTTAGCAATTAAAACAATATTAGTAGAAAGTAGGTACTGGCCAGAGTAAGGACCAAATCCTGCAAAGATCTGGAGTACTGGCATTTGGTGTGCAGTACTTACTGCCTTCTCCCATGAGTATTAGCTATGGAAACAAAAGAAAGTTCAACATCATTGTGTTTTCCATGCTGCTTCACACAGTATTTCCTTCATGTTCTGTATGGTTTTAAATGTTAGTTTAAGCATTTAGATTATTCCTCTATGCAATAGGCACACAGGAAATAGCTTGATGAAAAGCTGCCAATAGTTGAGTCTATAAACACAGTTTGATCTGTATCTTAGAAAATTGTTTCCATTCCAAACTGTGGTTACAAAGCACTTTTTCTTGTTGGCAGCTGGATTTTTTTTAAATCCCTATGCATCCTGTATTTGCCCAACAGAGTTGGCATTGATCACATAAAAAAAACCTTGCAGATAAAGTAACATTAAGGATCTGGCTGGAACTAACTTGAGCCAGTGGAGTAAGAGTCAAAGCTGAGCTTTTGTTTTCAGCATAGCCTGTTTTGTTCAGGAGCTGCAAAGCACACAGTGCCGAATGTGAGTCTTCTTACTTGGCCTTCAACAGAAAGTGAAAGCTGCTTCAAGAGGATGGGACTAGAGTTTGCATCAACTTGAAGAGGCATCTAATTAGGAGACTGGCAAATATTTAGGACCGGTTTAACAGTGTAACTTTTAACACAGAGAAAGCAGTATTCTTCTGAAGGTACAAAGAGAAATGTTTTTAAACTTTTTTTTTCATTAACAGATTGAGATTTCACCAGTTACTTAATTTTTGCTGAGTTGATAATGTGAGAACTGTAAATAACTGAACAAGCAAAAAATCAAACTTAAGTTTGAAAAAAAATGCATTGATGGGAAGGATATCCCTGGTGAAGTTGCTGATTGATAGGTGGCAATGTTTGGGCACCGATACAGTTGAATAATGAAATTACACAGATAAATATTTCCTAATAAAAGACTGAAAAATAACCTTTCCAGCCTTGCTGACAGCATCAGAGATCAGCTCTGCCTCAGCAGATAGGATGAAGAAGTTGTGCTTTCCTAAGTACACAGGCTTTCATTTCTGTACACACTCAGGGACTGGTTTTGAACTACTCCAGTCTGCCTTCAGGAAATTCCATCCCTCACAGCCTACAAGGTCTCCTCAGATGTATCTGAATAATAGTTTCTTATTAATTTATCATGTACCCGTGGATGGACTTTATTTTACTTTGCTGGGATTCATTTGTGTAAGTAAAACTAAAAGTGTCTGGAAATGTGAATGAGTCTCCTTTTCATTAAAGCTTAACAAATCAGTATCTTTCTTCTCTCAAGACCTGTCGCAGACAGAGGGATAAAGTGACAACTATATGACTAAAGTGGAGCTGATGACAGCTGGGAACTGGAAGCATTTGAATGCCTCAATAAAATCTATGAGCACTCTTTTTATTGAAAGCGTCTGCCTTCCTGACACCAAAATGGACTGAAATAAGAGTCCTGTGAAACTCTATCAGGCAGCTAATAGCTGTGCGTCTTATCTCCAGCCTGCCAAACAACTGCTTTCTCTCAGATGCAGACACCACTACAGTCATCCACAGCTTTGTTACCCCCAGACCCTATTTTGAACTGGCCAGCCGAGGCACCCCGGAGGCCCAGAATACAGCTGCTTATCTTAGGAAGACAAACCAATGAGAGAATAAAAGATTTATATTTTAAACCTGAGGAGGTTGCTAGACAACAGGCTGGACAAAGCTGAAGGTGTTCATTACCAAAACGGGTCCACCATCTGCTCCCTGGGCACTGGAAATATGTGCAGTTGGAATTGCCCTTTTTAAAAGCAGATTTTAGAGACTCCAAGAGCAGTTAAGTGTTTGGCTCAGGCCACTGACTCCCTTTTAGGGAGTATCCTTGCCAGAAACCTTCTTAAAACAAAACTGTTTTAAGAGACACCGCTGTCAAGATCTTACACCTGGTACACTACACTTGCATTGCTTTTGCTTGGCCTCCTCCAACAAAATGTGGTGCCTTCTCACCAGGTGCTCTGAGAAGCCACTGCCACTATCAGCTCTTCTGTGACTCCAGTGGCATGGGCCACCTGGGCTCTGGAAATGTGACTTGTAGCATCAGGAGGGTGCTACAGGATGATGCCTTTATGTGAAGTACTGAGCCCATTGCTCCCAGAGACATGGTCTACCTGGCCTGTTAAACTGTAATTAAAATTAAACAGGAAAGGATTTTAAGAGCCATGTAAGGCTAACCCAGATTCAAATGAGCAGCATGATGGAAATTCTTCTGTTCATAGCTATCAGCTAACTAAAGCAGGAGGAGTGTTCATGGCTCTGCTTTCTGTGCTTTGTTCAAACAGAAATAAGACAGTAATTCGTGTTCTTTTTAGTATCTTACACTTACTTTTTAAAGTTAGTATTTGACTTTTTAGAAAATGCAAGCTAACATCTCTATGAGCTTTTCAAAACATGTCATTGAACCACAGGGCTGTCATTACCACCTCTGACTGCAATCTTACAGCATGCCAGTGCTATGGTAGGATGTCAGTCTCACTGAAGATATACTAAAAATACCAAAGTATTTTGGATACAAAGAAGCCAAATCATTACCCATAGAGTAAAAATAGTCAGTATCACAACCACCATCACCATTAACTTCTTCTAACATGGAGACAAAACCAGCAGATTGGTGGCACTCAACCTTGGTTGAAGTGAAAGAATACACCAACAGATAATGTAGTATATTTGGTCAAAAGAAAAACACATTCAAACTTTTACTCAAAACATCAGGAGATTCTCTGTAAAGGAAATGAAATCACTACATAAGCATTTCTCTGTCTATTTTGTCCCATATCTTTAGGCCAGGACTGCCCCAGGAGGACAAGGAAGAAGCAGAGCTCTCACCTATGTCCACCTCTGGTCTGTTGCAAAGTACATCTACCATAAATCCCATTAAGCACAGGGCCCTAAAACCTGCTGCATATGCAAAATTTATTTATTAAAAATCCTGAAAAATTTACAACGCTCTAAGGATATCTTGAATGACTTCCAGTTACCTACTATCAGCCAACAAAATGCCAGAATGGGGGAACACATTTGATGAGCACCTTCTTAGGGGAATCCACTTTCTTAAAGTTCCTTTCTTCCATTTCTACCATTAAAAATAGCAATTTTTTTTTTAAATCATCAATCTCAAAATTCTGAGTTTCAAGTCATAGTCAAGTATAGAGGACTTCCAAGTGTGGTAACAGGAAAGGCAGTATTTAAAAAGAGAAGTGGAAAGGTCCTTAAATGGGAAGACTGATCCTTTTTAAGAATTGCATATAGTATGTGCTGTGCTCAAAGTACTTAAGATAATCACAAGGATGCCTGAAAGATGTGTTCTTGTAATCTTAAATTTTAAGCAACAGATGTTTTTGTAGGCAAAATCTGCCATGACTTTCACAAGGTGAAAGGACGTAGTCTATTTTTCTCTTTCACATAAGCTAAATAATTTTATACCTCAAAAAATTTATATGTGTGCATATATGATCATTTCATTATAGTTATCCTGTATGTTACAAAGCCAAATAAACTGGGGGGAAGAAAAGCCAGAGAAACATGGGATATCAACTGAGGTTGCTGAGAGATCTGTGGAATTTCATGTGCAATATTATCTTCTTTCTCTCCATTGTGTGAGCTTCAAATGGAGCAATCAGAGAAGTTAATGGTAAGGAATCATGGAGGTTTTTTTCCATGTCCTGGAGTTCACCTATCAATAAAACTGTGTTTCATCAGAGAAAAAAGTTTTCCATGCAGCCAGTATGGACTACATGTTTTGACCTGATGAGCTTTCTTGACTTGTAAAGAGCAGTGTAGCAAGGAGATTAATAGTTGATCCTGCTGGCTGCAGCAGGGAAAGTACCTCATTTGCAAACTTGCCAGAGTTGCTGCCTACCATCTGCTGACAGCTTGTTTCCAGCACTCACCCACTTCTGTCATAACAAGGAATGACAAAAGGACAGCAGCTGACGTGAAGGTGGCATGGTCAAGCTTCTTTGAATTATTAATGTCTATCACAACATTCAGTCACTCCTGGGAGACAGAACAGAACATAAGAAAATGGAGGTGAAAAGATAGATTCTCATTCGTGCTCCCTTAATCACACGTCTCCTCCATTTGCTCATATTCAAATGAACCTTGGTTTAAATACCTCAAGTTATATGGTATGGTCCTTCTATTATTCCAACAGCCTCACCAGTCATGTGGTCAGGAAGAATTTCCAAATATTTAACCCAAATATTAGTCAGCTATTCTATCTCATCATGCCTCATGGGATGTATTGGTGTGATGTCCTGCTAGTCTTCAGTGGCTGCACAAACTATGGCACATAGTCCTTGGTGGCATCTCTTCCTGCCCAGTCTAACAGACTGCCCAGCTGGTGGCACAGGTGACACCAGGCTCTGGTACAGGGACCATGAGCCAGTCCTGCAGGAGTTCCTCTGAGCTTCCAGGAATATTACCTGAACAAAAAAATATATCTTTAAATGCATTTTAGTCTTTCAAAAAATTGAAAATCAATTTACTTTCCAATTCAAAATGTTTTCTGCATGGGAGTGGAAAGGCAATGTGTCTCAGCTGATTTCAAGTAGACAGGAAAGGCCACAAAGTCTTCTGTGCTTTCTCTAGTAGGCACTCACAGTAAGGCCACTCTTCAGGTGAGATCTGTTATAGAAGTGGGAGCTATTGAAACTATTCAAAATATTTACATTCTTTAGTGGATAGAAGCACTACTTTATCCTAATCTCTTCTCTAATTACTCGAGTTTCCAGCCATGCCACAATATAATCTATGTAATGTCCACAACAAAGACCCACAGCATTTTAATGCAACAAATTTCACATAGATATTACAGTGGTGGGGATTCTGAAAGACCATGTATATTTAATAGATTAAATCAATTTCTCAATGTATATTTTTACTTGTTTAATCCCTCAACCTTCCTTCTTATTGCTAAAATTTGTTTCCTAAATGCCATATGCTTCTCCAGAATAACAAGACTCAGCAGTATGTAAAAAACCAATTATGTAAAGTTAAGCTTCTGGGTTTTTTTTACATTGAACTGTGAGATCTAAAATGACAGATTTTTTTAAAAATCTATTTTTGAATGAGTTTAACTTTGTATGTTTCCAAACACCAGTTTCTGCTCTGAAACATCATGTGCAAGATGATTTTCAGTATTCTTCCACTTTTGTCTGGCAAATTCCCCTGTTGTCTATATATGAACGAAACACAGCTAAACCGGATACACTGAGTGTAAAAACAGAATTTTCATGGGAGGGACAAGGGCAGGGGGAAGTCTGAAACTAAAATTACTCCAAGTGGTTTTTTCAAACTGTGTTTCCAAGGTGACAAAAACCCTTTTATTGCAAGGTTGCTCATTTATCTTGTACAGTTGCCAGGATTTTGATCTAATTTTTAGGTCTGAAGAACTAAAATTATCCCACTCCTTCTCAAAATAAAACCCAACCAAATACAACAAAACAGGTTTTAACTGTTTAGTGGCTTCTACCCTTACAACCGGCAACAAAGTAAAATCAGGTCAAATTGTAAATGTGCCAATTTTAGCATCCCTTTGGAAGATGTATCCCCAAACAGCACATTCTAATCATGCATATAGTTCATCAGTTATCCCAGGCTAAATTATGTGCTGAGATCCCAATAACAGTTTGCAGCCTTTCTGAGCTGGCACCTTGTACATGTGTGTGACAGACAGCACTCTACCTGTTTTCCTTTCTAAACAACATATGGGCTTAATGAAGACCCTTAGGTATTTACCTGCTTTACCTGAAGAACCCCAGAGAATGATGACCCCCCAGTTTTACCTCCTGTCTCCCCCTTATCACTTCCTTACCCTCACTTACTCTGTCACAGCTGAGCTTACTGCAGGAGTTTGGGACAAGTGCCATGGCACAGCTTCACAGAAGATTAACTTCCTGAAGCGAGACTTTACCATCCTAGACCTCACATCCGCTGTGGTCCTCACACACCTCTTCCTTGGGCCTTGGAAGGGCTTTGCCCGTAATGCTCCCAGGGCCTTGAGCTTTGCCATGCCCAGGGGCAGAGCCCTCTCTAGATAGTAAAATGAGTTTATCAGTCTTTTTGTCTGCCAGTTACTTAAAACAGTCTTAGCAGTCAGCAACCTCTAACATAGGTTTACTGCTCATTCCGATGGAAACCCATTCCTCCAGGATTCAGTGTGCACAAGGAGGCAACATGCAGGGCTGGTTCTGCTGACTGCCCCCCCTCCTCTGCCCACCCAGTGAAAACCAGCTTGTGACTCACAAAGGCGTCCTGGTCTCCAGTGGCGTTTCTGGTTCCACACATCATTTGAGAAGGACAACAGTTGTTACAGACGGATGTTAGGAAAGATTGCTTCCCAAGGAGGCATTTCCTTTGCTGCTGACTGGCATGAGCTCCGTTACTTCCCATGCTCAGTGCCATGGCTGCTGTTGCCTTAGAGATCAAAACCAACTGAAGAAGAATCTGCTCTTCCTAGGAACCAGAGTCTCCTACAGAACTGGTTGATGCTCATCTTTCACCATTAAGAAGTCCTCCTGTTGTAGTCATTGGACACTACTGCCAGGGAGTTTTGAATAGTTTCAATAGCTCCCACTTCTATAACAGATCTCACCTGAAGAGTGGCCTTACTGTGAGTGCCTACTAGAGAAAGCACAGAAGCCTTTGTGGCCTTTCCTGTCTACTTGAAATCAGCTGAGACACGTTGCCTTTCCACTCCCATGCAGAAACTGCCAGTATGAGAGTGAGCATCAATTGCTTGTGCAGGGGCATAAGCAGCAGCAACTGCAGGTCTGACCCTGGAGTGCTGCTTGTGCCCTGTGGGAAGTCGGACAACATAGTGAGCAGGACGCCAGTGCACTATTGCTCCATCAGACTGACTCTCTGCTCAGGTAACATGTAAGACACCAGCTCCCTCTGCTTCTCTGACTCGAGGTACTTCCCAGAAACCCCAAACTACTTGTTCAGTGTGCCAAGTCTTGCCAGCACTTAGTGTGCAATGTTAAGGAACCCCATTAGAAACTACCCAAAACATCAAAGAAACAGTGAATTATGTAGTTTAATATGTCTGATTCAGCAAGCACTGCAGAGTCAACTGTCTCCCTCAAAGCACACTGCACGTGGCCTTGGTGTTTCTGTCTGAAAAGCACATCCAAGTCCCCCTGCCTGTCCACAGGAGATACAGTGAGAGACACTCCCAAGGCTTTTAGGCCAGTCAGCAGGGACAAGCCCCACCTTATTAAAGCAGCTGTGACGCTGCAAATCTGGGCATCTCAGCCCCTGTTGCACTGGCTTGTGCTCTCCCTGGCAATTTGCATACAAAATGTATATTCTTTAAACACATTCACAAATGTTAACCTGAAGCAGAATTTTTCTTTGCCTGTCAGCAAAGAACATCTGGAAATGATCAATCTCTCTCTCCACCTTGCTCAAATGTCTTCAGGGAGAAATTAATCTTTTAAGACATCTATATTAAAATGAAAAAATGCTTCTCTAAGCTTGCTAAATTCAGTTAAGTTTTCCTGTGAAGAAAGCATAGGAGGGAAAGGAATTCATTTTTTCTAAGAGTAAAAAAATACAAATCCATTTCCTTACTCTGCTGTTAGGTGCACGGCAAGGCTTCCATTGAGAAACAAAGGACCCCAGCACTGTAAATTCACATGTGCAATTAGCTCATGCACAGCAGACTTTCCAGTGCCTGTAGTGGGATTCATGCATAGCAGAACTTCATACACATGTGTAGCTTCTTGCAGGAATGGATCTTGCAGCATCTCTAAGGAGAAACGTTACCAGTCTGGGAACGGATAAGAAATGATCAGTGCTGCAATTTACTCTCACTCTCATTCTCCACCACCCTTTGCACTTAATATAAGAACCAGTGAATCAATTAATAGGAAAAAAACCAGTCTAAGGTGAGGAAAAAGCTGACTTTAGAAGGCAATACTGGTGTGCTACCAAGAGCAGAAACATCGAATCCATTGTGTTTTTCCCAGCAAGGTGTATTTTGGGAGGGAGGCTGAGGTGCTGTGCATGCAGGGCCCCTCACTTGGGCAGGGTGTGCCTGCACAAGTATTTTGGTTTGGATCAGGAGGCAGCTTTTGAAGTGACTCTCCCTATCAGCCTGGCAGACTCTGCATTAGTTTTCAGAGTGCACCAGCTGGATTCCTTTCATATGAAACTCAAACCAGATGATGCACTCTAGGAGTGCATTTAATGCACTTGGACTGCTGCTGAGCATTGCTCCTGTGGGAGCAACGCTGAGCTAGCCCACAGCATGGACTAGTTCACCTTACAGGCACTCTCCTATTGTGCCAAATGACTTATGAATGCAAACGTAGCCACAGATTAAAGACAATCTTTCAGCATGATATCAGAAATAGAACCGATCACATATAGCTTCCCAAAAACCCTATAGCATTAACCAGGGGAGTCAGTAAACCTGCTTATTCTTATGAAAACAGATCTACTAATTTAGCAAACAAAAGCCATATACAGTATAATTGAGAAAACCAAACAAATGCTCAAGATGGACTGACCACCTAAAATGGATTATTTACTCTCGAGTGCCAAGAAAGCAAATTCCCCAACCACTAGTATTGCTGGTTCTTAATGCTCAAGTGTGTATGCACAATGTGGGATATAAACACAGTTCTGACCAAAAATCCTGTAGAGTTGCTCAGGAATTAGTGCTATTATTAAATGTGACACTTTTTCAGGTTAATTTCTGCAGAATGCTATTAAAATCTAAGAGACTTTTGCAGCATGAGAAGGAAAAGCAAAAATCAGGGTCTACCAAATATTCCCAATATAAAATAACTGATTCATTTAAGCCCCTTCACATTATTTCCTAAACTCTGCATTTCAGATCAATCAATGAAGACAATTGTGTAACCCCCAGCACTACTGTTGTGCTATAGCCAAAGAAGCATCAAGTGAAGCTTCCACCTACCATGGGGCATATCCAGCCCCTGGAAACATTTGCCCTTTAAGCAAATCACAGTATTTTCCAAGTGAATAAGACCATTATCTTTCAGCTTCATAAGTTGCCAAAAGCCTGTGAAAAATTAAATGAGGTCTTTTAATTAAAAGCCTAAACACATACAGTGGGTCAGTTCCATCTCAAGGCCCCCCATTGCTTCTCTCAAGTATAATGGTAGTTTCTTTTCATTCCTTCTGCATAGTCATGAGAAAAAAGTTGGCTTTAAGGGCTAATTTAACTTCTGAGTGAGCTGCAGGGCCTGACTGCTAAATCCTGTCCAGAGTTACCCTAGTACAGCAGCAACACAATCCTCAGTATAAGTCTGCTCCAAGGAAACTTGGATGCAGTGCACTGGAGCAGGTTTTGTGACCAAACAAACTGCTCTCAGAAATTATGTCTTTTGCTATAATTCTGCCATTTAGCTTAGAATTAGTTTGGGTTTTTAAAATGACATTAAAGTTGTTT